TATATATATATATATATATATATATAACAGCACTTTTTAACAAATAAAATTTTTTCAAGAGAGTGTTATTATTGTTAGCGTTTGTATTTTTTTTTTAAATATTGTTGGTTCGACTATGATTTTGGTATTATTTTTTTATGAAAATATCGAATAGATTTCTTAATTTTTAATTTTTCCAAATATATTTCTATTTTTAAAAATGCAATCTAAGCTGGTCTTTTACGTTATTATTGTATAATAATATTAAAGTCACGTGTTTGGTTTATGATTTTTAAATTTGTAATTTATTTATTTTAAAAATATTATTTGCGTGTCAGCAATGAATATGTGGAATTCTATGTAAATCAACAAGACCACTTACAAAGCTAAATTATTCTGGTCCGTTAAGCTCGCATGCATGTTAAAGAATGAGCTGGCGACTCATATATATATATATATAATGATTTAGTTAAGGAAGCGAAAGCGAGTCTTCATAAAATAATTTTCATTATAGATCTGAACTTGGGTGATCCATGACCATGACCAAAACGAAGCTTGAAGGTCAAATATTATTATATTAATTTGAATTCAGTCTTTTCTTTGAATATGTTATTTTAATTCAATTAAATCCTAAATATTCTTTTATTATTTACAACTATTAGGTTATCTTCCATTTCATGATGCACCTCCTTTCCTCTCCTCTCCATCTTCCGTTATCATATTTGTCTTTTCCAACCAATATTGTCAATCTGTCATCTCCACCATTTTTTTAACATTAATAATATTTGTTTCAATTATTGTCTAAAGTAACACCAATTATAATAATTAACTATTCTTTAAATATGATTCTTTTTTCATTGTCTAAACTTTTACACAATCATAAGTTAATAAATTCAATATTTTCATGTTATTTAGAGAAGACTTTTACTAAAACTGCATCTCAAATTATATGACTGTTTACATAACAAAGAAGAGGTACATAATTAAGAAATAACACATTTCATAATTTAATACCAAACTAACATAATTTGTTAACCCACTTATTTTTTCCACCACATTAATAAACAAAGTAATTAAAAATCAACAAACTAGAAACATTAATGACATTTGAGTTGCTATTATCCTAACTCTTTCGATATGGCAACGTAGGGATGCTTTGTTCATTCCTAAAGAAATTATGAGGATCAACCTTGGTCTTTATTTCAACCAACCTGTTGAAGTTATCTTTGAAATACTCGACTCCATAAACTTTTCCTTCAGCATAACTGTTCTTGCCATTGTGATTAATTCCCAAGTCAAGGTCCTTATAATTGTAAAAAGCCTCTCTTGGATTCTTGGAGACAAAAGGAGTCATATACTTATGAAGTACTCTTGTCAAGTTTATATAATGATCTGCTACCTTTTTCCCAGCCCGATTCCAATTGGCTTGGTATTGAACCTTCCACAGGTTCCCTGCTCGATGAGGAAAAGGAGTTGCTGTTGATGGAATCTCAGCCATTCTTCCACCATAAGGATTGAATTGAAATAGCGTATACTCCAACTCGATCATCTTCTTCCAAAGTCCTTCAAAACCCTTTTTGGAAATTGGTTTTTGTACATAGTCAGATTTTCTTTTCAAGTAGTTCACAGGTGATTGTGGTTGTCTATCAAGTAAAACCTCAACAGGTGTTGTAATGTTGATGTTTGTCCAAAACAGCACCGACCGAAGCCAACTTGTTTCGATGCAGTCAGATTGCTTCAATCCCAACTGAGGGAACTTGTCGTTCAAGAGAGAAACAAGGCTTTTGGAGTCACCGAGGAATAGAGCTACGAAAGAAGCTCTTACAGTCTTTTTTCCATTTCGTGTACCGTTTACAACGTCCAATATAAGTCTGATAAAAAGCTCGTTGTCGATAGTTGGTGCAACATGCTGCCAGTTATAAACAACATCGGTGGCGTTTTGCTCCACGGTTCTCTCTACTCTGAAAACAGTCACCACCTCAGGAACTCGAACAAGCTTTATTTTGTAGGCAAGGACTACACCAAAGCTAGATCCACCACCACCTGTGATGGCCCAAAAGAGATCTTCACCCATAGATTTTCTATCAAGCAATCTACCTTCAACATCAACCATTTGTGCATCAACAACATTATCCACTGTTAGACCGTATTTTCTCATCATATTACCATAGCCACCACCACTTATGTGGCCTCCCACCCCAACAGTGGGACAAACCCCTGCTGGAAAACCATGAATTTTNCGTTTACAACGTCCAATATAAGTCTGATAAAAAGCTCGTTGTCGATAGTTGGTGCAACATGCTGCCAGTTATAAACAACATCGGTGGCGTTTTGCTCCACGGTTCTCTCTACTCTGAAAACAGTCACCACCTCAGGAACTCGAACAAGCTTTATTTTGTAGGCAAGGACTACACCAAAGCTAGATCCACCACCACCTGTGATGGCCCAAAAGAGATCTTCACCCATAGATTTTCTATCAAGCAATCTACCT